TTAACATAATGGGTTTTCGTCACAAGCTTCGAGACGAAACGCTTGCAGAAACCAACGCCGGATTTGAGCTGAGGAAAACTCTGCAATGAATATATTACTTGTACATAATGCGACGTCTAGTATTCACCCCCCTCACATGGAAAGGGACCTTCTTCGAATAAATTGTATTTTATTGAAACTCGATTTCCCTCCATGTGAATAGGTGAACACCATTATGAACAATTTGATGTACGTGTAGCATCATCCAACTTCGTAAATGCAGCTCTTTTTCCACTGTCGCCGCTACGAGTCTGTCGTCCATTGTCATTCCTCCACCATAGCTTTGCAAAACATCTTCTATTGCTCATAATAAATTTAGATTCAATTAAAATTCGTTTTTAATATTTGGATTTAATTTTATTTGACAACAAATTCTTTGCGTGTTCCTTGTAAAATTCAAATATTATGATGATAATAGTTTAAAATTCTGCAAAAATAAATTAAATTTAAATTTAATTGCTGTGTAATTGAATAATCATTCCAAGTGGTATAGACAATGCTTGCAAAGTTGTACAAAGGAGGTGATTGCTAATTGCAATGAAACACACAATATATTTATTATTAAATTCGAGTTTTAGCCCTTGTTTAATGGCCTTTTAAAAAAAAAGAGTTTTAAATAATTACTTTTTGGGCAATGTATGGCTAAAAAGTTTGAAATTTTTTTTAACTTATTTGTAAAATATTTTATTGTATAAATGTGTGGTTAAAAATGGGTATGAAAATTAAAGAGTTTTATTTTAAAATGAGATAAACATCGGCTTAATTAAATCCAAATTTATAGTGATTAATAGAAGACGTTTTTCAAAGTTTAGTGGCCGAAATTCGACTATATCAAAGGTTAGTGCCACGATTCGACCACCTTAACTTTGGTGAGCAATAGAAGACATTTTTCAAAATTTAGTTGTCAAAATTTGACTATCTCAAAGTTTAACAATGTGAAAAAGCGTTACATGTGCATTCTGTCAACCACGTCATTAATTTCGTTAGAAGTTTGAGATAAAAATTATGTCAATGAGTAATGTACAATATATTCTGAAGTTCAATGGCCAAAACTCGATATTTTAAATTTCAGTGAGCAATCGAAGACATAAATATAAGTTCAATAACCATTGAGACAATTAACTCCAATTTTTCTATAATAAGTAATTGAATTTTGAGGAGTAAGAATATTGTCATATGATAATTGACCATAGGCGCATGTTTAGTACAACTTGCATCCTTGATTTTTGAATCGAAGACAATCAAAATAAAAATAAAAAACCCTAAGGGCCTGCTTGAGAGTTTTGGATAACCGATTATGAGCCTTTTTTAAAGTACTAATTTTGAGAATTTATGAATGGATCGATTTTAAGTGATTTTAGTAGCAATTTTTAAAACTATCCAACCTATGCATAAGAGTTTATTATCCACTTATTCTTTTTTTTTTTTAAAGAATAAAATTATATATATGTCCCTTATTAAAATTTTAAATTTATAGTTTCTTATATGATTTTTTTTAATCATAAGTGATATTTTATTTGTAGGTAATTTTTTTTAACATATAAGTTAATATTTAATTTAAAAATTAAATAAAGTCAAATATTTACTTAAAATTTTAAGTTAGAGTGTGTTTGATTGATATAGAAAATATCACCTGGAAAAGAAAATGATTTTCATGTTTTGTGGAAAATAAAATTCATCTTTACCTAAGAAAATTTTTTTCCTTAAAAACAAGGAAAATTAGGTATATTTTCAAAAGTTTGAAAACGTTTTCCATGGAAAAAAATAGCAATCAAACACTCCAAGTAGGAATTCGCGTGGAAAACTGATATTTTTCATGAAAAATAAATGTAATCAAACACACCCTTAATATATTTTACTTATAAGTAAATTTTACAATTATAAGTTAATTTTATACTTTTAAATAATTTTAAACCAATTTTTTGCTTATAAATAATTTTTTATATTATGTGAGTGATATATTTGTCCTATTAGTGGTATTTATTTTATTTTATTTTTTACATAAAAGTGATTTTTTAATTTATAAGTATTTTTTAATTATAATGTAATTTTTTGCATAAAAATATATTTTTTAATTAATATATTATTATTTACAATTCGTTTTGAAGAAGATATAGTAGTTAAAAATAACTATTTTATAGAGGATAAAATTAGAAAAGAATACGAGAATCGGTCAAAATTCGTCTAAGTTAAGAGGATGATCAAAATTACACGATAAACCATTCAAAATCAGTACCCAAAATATTAGCAAGCACTGATTTTTTTTTTTTCAACCCCTCATAAATGGTACGATCCAAAATTGATCAAAACCGATAAACATAAACTCCCAAGCAGGCCTAAACGTAGCATCACGGTGTTAATGTTTTGAAAACAATTCGGAAACTTTTCTCAAAGTCAATAAAGTTTATTGTCAGATATTGATTTCTTTGGATGATCATGAATATGTGATAGCAGCATCATGAATATTGCACAATGGCCTTTGTTCACATACTTGTCCCTGAAATCGCCAGTATCATAAGTGAAGTTGTAAGCAATTTGATTGCTCATTGTCAACGATATTCTTTATGATTACCGTGAGCTTCAACGCTTCAACATGTGAAGTTTCTTCTAACTTTATTTTAATACTTAAAAATAAATTAATGATGAAATATTCCCTCGCTATCTCAAGTTATTTTTTATATTAACACGGAAAATTTTATATTTTTAGCTTTTATTTTTCCACGGATGGAATCTTCTATTTTTTTGGAACAATAAATTTTGTCATAGTGATTTTTGGAAAATATGTGATTAAAAAGTAGGAAAAATCTTTAAATTTAGTTGTACAATTATTTTATGGAATAATGTATGATTGAAAATAAATTAAAAAAAAAATAAGGCTCAAATAGGGCCAGCCTCCAATCTACTTTTCGAATTTTCTGATGAAGTTGATTAGTCCGACTTTGAAAACTATTCCATTGCTTCAATGGTGAACCATCCTAATCACGTGATTAAATTCTATCATATGTACATTTTGATTTACACTTTATCACGAGATATTACTCAATTGGACAATTAAAATTTCAAATAGATTTTTTATCCAATTGATTTACACTATGTCATATGATTTTAAGTGGAGCCACCTAAACCTAAAATTTAGGTAGATCTCATTTTCAACCTTATCCCATGACGTGTTGGAAAGTGATAAATTTTGGCCGAGCTGTCCAGCTAGATGACCAAGTCACCTTTGATCCTATCTTGGCTATTTTCTACAAATTTAGCTCTTGGTCAGCTCGGCTTCACTATTTGGCTGGCTCACCAAAAGGCTAAATAAGCAGCCATCATAATGAAACAAATATAACCTACCTTAAGCCCTGTTTGGCCCCCATTTTTGATAATGAAAATGGGGGGAATAATGTTTTGTTGAAAAATGAGTGATTGAAAAAGAAGGAAAAATTTTCGATTTACGCGTAATATTATTTTATAGAAGATTGTGTGGTTGAAAATAGAAGAGAGAAAAATAGAATGTAATTTAATGGGGATCAAGCAGGGGCTTAAGTTAATAATTGTAAAGCATATTTAAAATATATTATTATTTTTTCATTATAGGCCATTAGTCCTAGTAATCCAATGTGTCAATTATCTAAGAAATTGACTTTGATAAGATAGTTATATTTTCTTTTCATTTTTCTCTGGAATTAACTGAATATATCATAGTTGAATTATTTTATAGATTTATATAATTTAGAGATCGAACAATAAATGTTTATGTTAATTACAATGAACCCCTTGTGAAAATTGATAGGCATAAAATGTAGTAACATAATATTTTTATACTTTTGAATTCATAAAATACTGTGGATTATGGTCTTCTCATTCCATTTAAGATGCACAATTTTAATAATTTTCATTTTACTATGCCCAATTTGATAAGAACTAGGAATATTTCAATCAAATTCATTAGGAAATTCGATGGAATTAATCATTTTAATTGCTTTTTACGTGAAGAATAAGTGGATAAGTAAACATGTACTAGGTACTAAAATGAATAATGCATTAGCAAAAAAATGCAAGAATATTTACATTGATAAACTCGTCAACTTTTTTACTTCACCAAACTTTGGGACCAAATCCCATGAAGATGATAATGAACTACCTATAGATGATTTAATCCTATCAATATCATAAGTAACAATATAATAACTTATTCAAATATATTTGAAAACTTAGTCATACATGCTAATGGATTTTATAAATGTTTTATTGAGCTCTATCCAAAATTAGAAATAAGTAATTAATTATTGAATAGTTATATTGACACCACAATTTCTAATACATGCATCACAATTTTAGGGCCCCATTTGATTCTTATTTTTTAAGAATGAGAATGAAAAATATAGTCGTTATGAGATCCACATAAAAGACAGAAAGTCAAATATGATGGCTTAAAGTGATAAATAACAGTCATATTTTTCATTTTTATAGCCAAAGAATGTGAATCAAACGGGGGCTTAATTGTTTTAGTTGTCCTTTAACTTTGCACTTAGTGTTACATTTTATGTTCCTAACTTTTTCATCGTATTCCTATTATTAACATTTCTCAATTAGGATCTTGTTCTTAATAACGTTTTTTTTTAAATTTTTGTTTGTGGTGTGAATATATTTGGCCTTAATTGTATTCTAAACTTTTAAGTTGTTTACAATTTTCTTTATAATAAGGCAAATTAGTTTTTATCCTATCTATATATTAAATTGATTATAAATAACTCCTAAGTATATTTTAAGTAACTTCTTTTTTAATGAAAACCAATAACCACTAGAGACCATCATATTTTCTGCAAAATAATTGATTGGTTTATCATCCAATAAATTTTCAGTGGCTTCAAACAAAGCCATATTAGCCGGAACCTTTCATTATCAAAACCCCATAAACTTGTTTACCTATATCCACCATTTCTTTCTATATAAGAACCCTAATTTCTCTCCATTTTATCACAACAAAACCAGATTTCATCAAACAGTAAATAGTTTCTTTCTTCCCCTTTCCTTCTCTTGTAACAGTCGTATATCAGGTGGTGCGCCACTACCGTTTTTTCACGCCTGAAACTGGTGAAACATCATCTTTTTTCGGTTGTTACAAAAGAAAAGTTCGATAAAAAATAAAAACTAAGAAAAAAACAGTTTTTAATTCATTTTCATTGTTAAAATAATGGGTTTCCTTCACAAGCTTTGGGACGAAACGCTTGCTGGACCAACGCCGGATTCCGGCCTAGGAAAACTCCGCAAATACAACTCTTTTTCCGCAGCCACTACTAGATCCGCCGCTGCTCTGCCGTCCGTTGTCATTCCTCCACCACTTGATGATCAAATCCCGATTTCTCGGAGCATCACTATTCTCCGAACCAGCCCTGGCTCGCCGCGTAATCTTAATACTTCTCTTGACTCTGGATCGGTCCCGAATTCTCCTGCTGGTTCCAGCACTCCCACCTCGCCATTTTCTCGTAAGAATTTAGTTTTACTACACCTTACAAAGGAAGTTTTTTTTGTCTCGAATTAGGCCAAATCAATAATTCAGCATAAACTTAGAATAGATAAGCTGTATTTTGTGTCCCTTCCCCTTCCGTCCCCGTCTTCTTGGAATCTTCAAGAGGCAAGACAGGGACACAAAGGAATGGACAAGATTAAAATATATTTTTTTATATCATCGTTCAACTATATATTTATTTTTTATTTTGGAAAATCAATTTATTTTTATACCCGGGATGGGCTTGAAGAATTCAAAGGCGGGGTATTTTCCATCTGTACTCAAAAGAATGTTATCCGTGCAAGAATAAAGACACTCGTCTAGGGTTAAAAATAGGGGAGTAAGAGACAGATTGATGTGTCAGAAAATTATTGAATATTTTTGTTTTAATTTTTTAAATTGTCTAATTATATGTCGATAGGTGTCCCATCTGAATTTGAGTCTAAATTTGAGCATATATGTGTAGCATGATTGAAAATCAAAGAAGTTTAAACAACCATAATACTTATTTAGCTATGATTATCCATTTAATATTATTCTAAGCCCATGTTTGAGCCACGTTTTAGGGAAAAAATGCATTATTCATGCTAAATCAATAGAAAATGTGTAGTTAAAAATAAGGAAAAATTTTAGATTTGCGATTAATATTATTTTGTTGAAGAATGTGTAATTGAAATAATGTCAAATCACTATTGAAAAATGTATTTTTTAAAAATAATGTAACTCAAACAAGTCCTAAATTCTTTATACAATTTAGTACAGTGCGCTAAACATGTCCTACGTGTTAAATTTTCTTTTAGCAAGTACCCCGGGTGGGAACTTTAAGAAATTGACAAGGAGAAAATCTACCTCGGCCTCAGTGCATCAATCTGATCCGAAGAGTCTAACTGGTTATGATTGGTTAGTTTTCTCTTCTTTTACTTTTCGAATTAATTTACTTGTGCATTTTCTCTTTACACTTTGGATGACATTCTTTCATGTAAATGAGATCTGGCCACTGATCGAAAAAAGTGATATTAAAATCAACGTAGAAAAATTTGTCATCTCATAGAATATCAAAGTTGATGTACATATAGCAAAACAACGACCTTTTTAACTTTCACTCGATTACTTTTTACTCATTATTCAACCAACCATGTATTTAATTATTGTCCAAAAATTACTTGTCAAAACATCTTTTTATACAATAATGTCCATCAAACACGTTATTTTTTGAACCCCTATTCTAAAAACTTGTTTTTACATAAATTTATTTTCAATCACACATCCTTTCATTAAATTAATTTTGTACATAAACCCAATTTTTTATACATTTTTTAACTGCACGTTCTTTAAAAAATCATTGTTACAAAACTCATTTTCAGCCAAAAAAAAAAAAAAAAAAACCCAACAAGGGCTTACTTCTTATGGCTTATTGTTGTTCACTAACTTGTACAAACTTGTCTTGACAGGATTGTGCTAAGTGGTTTAGATCGTTGACTCAAAAATGCTAATTTTGTGAGGGTAAAACGGTCTTTCTGTAAATAAAGGACCCTGATCAGCATCCTGTATTCAATCCTATAATTCTATAATTCAACGTAGAATAAGAGAGGAAAAAGTAGGAGAGTAGGTTTAGATCAAAGACTTTTGAGTCGTCCTTCTGTGTGAAGAAAGTGATATCCATTTTTGTATCTTTATCTCTTCTGAGCAGTTTCTTGACTTTTGTGAATAAACTTTTTTTTTTTCTTTTCATTGTCGTGGGATTGTATATATGTAGAATAAATGTTATAGCAGTGATTTGCTGTCTGTAAATTCTCTCTAATGAAACTTGTGTTAAGTTTTGTATTCTTTTTGATTGAAGAGTTCTTTCCCAGCTTCCATTTCGTGGAACCATGAAAGTAATTGCAAGAATTTTGTTAGCCACGTGCATGTTTCAGAATTAACAAATCAAATATAACTTTACAAAATCTGCATGTTTGGCCTTCATCATATTCAATTTTAGAGGAAATTACACCCGTAGTTGTAATTAAACTTCCCCTTTCAATAATCAAATACAAAGTATTTTTTGTTTTCCATAAATTAGGTCTCACCCATACTCACCAACAAAATATCTTATGGTCTCTTTTTACACTTCAAACAATGTCTCTTTCTCTCGACACTCAAACTCATATCTTTTTGTCTGTCAAACCACCAACGGCCGCCGTACCCCACAGTCGGCCGCCAATACCCAACTGTGGTGCCGATCCTATCATTTTTGGGGCCTAAGACGAATTTCATAAATCAGGCCCCCCCATAATGCTACACTTTAAGAATTCCATAGTTGCAACAAACAATCTTGAACTAAAAATTAAATGTGAAGGTAAATAATATATATAGCAATAGTGTCGACCTAAATTCATTAATCCCATCTAGTGTGGCCATACATCCAACTTATAATTGATTATGTACATCTCATGGACATTTTATTCTAATAATGCTATTATCCATTTTAACTTACTATGGATCTTTCAATCACTATATCACTTCATTTTATACAACCATCTTTGGTCTTTATTAATATGAATTGCATCGGTACTAAAATTATATAAACACTCGTGAATCGGGATTTCCTTCCCCATATAATATGATAATGCCTCTTTTTTCATAGGAAAATAACATTTTTACAGAAGAATGGTTTACCACCTTCTTAACAGATTCTTACATTTGCGTGGGATCCGAGTGAAAAAAAATGATAAAAAATTGCTCCCCCCTCCCCCTATGAGTCTGTTCTGTCAGGGAGGGTTCTGTGCAAATAGCAAGGTCCTTTTTCATACACTGTTACACTGATCCCAAGATTCCCCACACTTTCTAAGAAACAGCATCATATTTTTTCCTAAGTTCAATTTTGCTAGCCTCATAAATTCACAAAAAGATGATAAAATCAATCATTAATTAATTATCAAATGCACCCAACGTCTCTTAACACAAACCTTGAATTTGGAATTGGACTTTGGACAGAGGTGACGATTATGCATCCAGTGTCTCATAACACCAAAATTGAATTTGGAATTGGACAAAAGAAAGTCAGAATTTCTGAAGTGTAGAAAGTGCATCATATTTTTCCCCAAGTTCAATCTTGCTCGTCTAACAAATTCACAATCTGATGATAAAATCAATCATTAATTAATTAGCAAACGCATCTAATGTCTCATAACACAAAATTTGAATTTAGAATTGGACGGAGGAGAAGATTATGCATCCAGTGTCTCGTCACACAAAAATTTTACATAAACCAACACCGACTTCATTATACTGCACACCCACCACTCGTCAACCTCCACTTCCCCATAATTCCTCGACAGTTTTTTTTCTCTCTCTCGAAAAGAGAATTTGGAATTGGTCAGAGGAGAAGATAGAAGTGCGGACATTGTTTTGTTAATTATGCATGGTGAAATTATGAAAAGAACAGTGGCACTGTGCCAATTTCGTCACCGATGAGGCACTCAGATTCGATCGGTTTGATTTTGGGTGTCCTCGTCGCGAAAAGGATTTTGTCTGGCATCGTGAAATTCTTCGAAGGCCCAATAGGTGATTACGTTTCTTATTTGCCTAGTGGAGTTAATTTGCCTAAAATATCTGAGGCCCTTTAATTTTGGGCTAGAGGCATGGGCCTCATTTGTCCCTGCCCAACCGCCCTTGATCGTGATTCCACTTCTTTCCACCGCCAGCACCCCCACTTCTCTCTCTACGGCGACCATGCAGCATCCCTCTGCCTCTCTGAATTGTTGTTAGCACCTTGCCACCTCACTCACTATTGATGCTCGTATACCAATGTGAATCCACTTTTCTCTCCACTGCCAAGCATGCAGAACCCTACCGCCTCCCAAATCTGCCTCTCTTAACTGTGCCCTAAATCTCTCTTATTTCACTATAACAGATTCAAGCTACAGATCTAAAGGTGGCGAATTTAAGAACTTTTGTTGGGATTAACCTCTACAGGTTTCTGTGTGAAAGAGAGAGGTCAGGTGGTGGTGGCAACTGCATAGTAGGTTTGGACAGTTTGTTGGGGATAACCTTTAAATTATTCTATGAATGCCTGTGTGGAAGGAGAGAAATGCAGGTGATGGTGGTGGCGGTGGCGGTGGCCGTGGTGGCGGCGGTGGCTTTGGGTGGTGTTGTTGGTAGTTTGTTTTATAGATGATGTGCATGTAATGAAGATGATAGCGGTAGTGATGATGGCATAACGGATTTGTGAAGTTTGTTTGGGGGTAATCTTTACATTTTCTGTGAATGTCGACTGTGTGCAAAGAAAGAGGTGTAGGTGGTGGTGGCGGCGTCGACAACGACGTTCGAGTGGTGCTGGTAGCATTCTGTCTTGTAGATGAGGTGTAGATGGTTCAGATGGGGGTGGATGAGGTGGTTTATCAATTTGAGGTCGCACCATTGTGCCGATGATCTGGATAGGATGAAAAGTGCTTGTTATCAGTTAATTGGGTAATAGTGACTAGTTAATTTAAAAAGTTTTGACCAATTAATTTGATAATTTATGACCGACTAATAAGTTGTAATATATGAAATTTTTAATTTGTAATTAAATTCGAAATTGTGATTCACTTTTTGTGACTTTGTTACTATGACGCTTCGTGATCTGTGGCTTGTATGTAATTGTGATCATAATTTTTATGTTATTGTGATCTTGGCATATTTTATTAATAAATGGATCGCAGATATATGATCAGGTGTTCACAAATGTGATCACCTAATTTTTGAAAGAATTGTACAAATTTTATAAATTTGAAAGTGTATATTGAAACTATGATAATTATGTATTTTTCACTTTTAGAGAATATTACACCCGCACTTATATTTCAAGTTTTTAACTTCCCATTTTAATAATCAGATGTAACGCCTTTTTTCGGGTCACACCTATACTCACAAAATATATTGTTATATCGTTCTACATTTCGAACAACGTCACGTTCTCTCTTCATTCAAACTTCTATCTTTCTCTCTTCTACACTTACAGTCAAATCACAGTCGACTGGTCATTGTTGCACCCAACTGTCGACCGCCAACACCCCATCGCTCTTGATCGCAATTCGACTTCTTTCCACTACCAGTCGCTCAACATTCCACATCTTTTAATCATCTTCAGCACCCTCCACTTCTCTTTCCACCACCAATCATGCAGAATCTCTACCTCACTTAACCGTGCCCTAAACCTTTGTTGTTTCACTTTTACAGAATCTCTACCTCTCTTAATTGTGCCCTAAATCTTTGTTGTTTGGGATAACCTTTATAGGTTTTTGTGTGAAAGAGAGAGGTTAGTCAGAGCTGGCGATGGCGTAATGAGTTTGGGAGTTTGTTAGGGAGAGGTTAGTCAGTGCTGGCGATGGCGTAATGAGTTTGGGGAGTTTGTTGGGGATAACCTTTACATTATTTCGTAAATGTCTATATGGAGAGAAAGAGGTGTAGGTGATGGTGGCAAAGGTGGCAGCTTCGAGTGGTGTTGGTGGTAGTTTGTGGTTGTAGATGATGTGTAGGTAATGAAGATGATAGTGGTGGTCAAGTGGTAGTGACGACGGGATGCCGGGTTTGGAAAATTTGTTGGGGGTAATCTTTACATTTTTCTATGAATGTCTATTTGGAAAGAGAAGTGTAGGTAATGTAGAGATGGCAATTTGAACCGTCAAAATCGAAAATCGCGGTTAATCGAACCGAATGGGGCGAAAAAAATCGAACCGATGGTACAATGGGGCGGATATGATTTTTACTTTTATGAACTGGTTCGTGACGGTGCGGGTATGGTATTTACGTCGTCGAACCGAAACCGAACCGATTACCTGCTAAAAAAAAATCAATTTAATTGATTATTGAGCTTTACAATACTTTTCTATCTAACCCAAAACAAAATCCCCCCATTACATCTACATGACTCAGCCGGCCAACCCACTTACCATTAGCCCATAATAATAGCATTAATATGACAGTATATAAATGCAAACCCTACTCTCCACAGACCACAAACTCACGCGCGGCTCCTTTTATTGTTAATTTTTTGCTATTGTGGGTAGAAAATTCTACGTCTTCATCATACTCTAAATCTTGTGCAACGTTTAGTGAGAAGGAAGCTGACGAAGAGGTACATTTTTTTATTTAAATCTTAGTTAAGACTATTCTGGAATAGGTAGTATCGTTGTATTCTCTACTTACATTTCTTATTTACTATATATGAATCAATTTTGAGTGTTGATCTATACTAGTAAGACTTGTAGGGAAGAATGAATCAAGTAATTTCGATACACAACAATTAAGAATGAAAGAAAAATTTAGTATTGTTATATTTATAAGATTATTTGTTAAATTTGTATTTTACAATTGAAAATTTGGATAATGTTTGTATTTTCGTTTGGAATATTGTGTTTTTGTTTTCATTGACTTTTTTCATAAATTGTTTTATATCAATTTGATGGATGAACTTGTAAAAAATAATTTATTTTCGTGGTTATTAACCGAACCGAACCCTGTCGAACCGAGATACGAACCGAACCGATTTACGTGGTTATGGTGCGATTATGGTATGGTCAAAAAATTGATGTTGCGGTTATGATTTTGGCCGAACCGACCCATAACCGAATCGTTGCCAACCCTAAGGTAATGGTGATGGTGATGATAGTGGTGGCAACGTTTAGGTGGTGCTAGTAGTAGTCGTTGGTTGTATATGAGGTGCAAGTGGTTCGGATGGAGGTGGAGGTGGAGGTGGAGGTGGAGGTGGAGGTGTTGTTGATTATTTTGGAGGTGGCGGTTTGTCAATTTGAGGTGGCGCCAACGATCTAAATGGCTCTGAGGTTGGGATGAAAAGTTTTCGTGACCAATTAATT